GGCTCACGACGCTCAGCAGGACTACCTGTCTGCTCAGTGTAAGGAGAAGGAGCAGGCAGCGGTGAGCCAGGCTGTAACGGAAGACCAGTAGACGACGGGAGAGTAAGAACCTGACAAAGAACAGAGTCAGGCGGCGGCAGAGACGACGGAGACGGCGGAGCGAAGAACAGTCGTGTCGGCGCAGCTGCACCAGTACCGGTAGCTCCAGCAGCTCCAGTACCTCCAGCAGCTCCAGCACCTCCAGCAGCTTCAGAAGCCCAACCCCAGAACCGACACCTCCAGTCCCAGGGTCTCCAACCTCAGTGTCTCCAGCAGCAGCACCCCCAGAACCAGCACCTCCAGTCCCAGGGTCTCCAGTCTCAGTGTCTCCAGTAGCAGCACCTCCAGACGCAGCACTCCCAGCCCCAGCAGCTCCAGTACCTCCAGTACGAGCACCTCCGGGACCAGCGACTCCAGCACCTCCAGTAGACAAAGTACCAGCACCACTCCTAGCTCCAGGGACGTCAGCAGAAGTACCTCCGCGAGTGCCAGAAGCGCGACCCGGACGGCGACCGTACCAGTCGTGCAGCTGCTGTGAGGTGAGAGGCACACGTGGACGAAGGCGGCTACTCCAAGGAGACCGCGCAACAGCAGACTCAGAACCCTCAGCGCCAGCACCCCCAACAGCTCCAGAACCTCCAGTGTTAGCAACCTCAGCGCCAGCACCACCAGCAGCTCCAGAACCTCCAGCGCCAGCACCCTCAGCAGCTCCAGAACCCCCAGCTCCAGCGCCACCAGCACCAGGACCTCCAGCAGCTCCAGAACCTCCAGCGCCCGCACCCTCAGCAGCCGCAGAGCCTCCAGTAGAAACAGCTCCAGGAGCAGAGTCACCAGCTCCAGCAGCGCGACCCTGACGGCCAAGGTACCACTCAACCAGCTGCAGGGAGGAGAGGGGGAGTCGACGACGAGAGGGCAGCGGCGAGGCACCAGCGGAGCGACTACGGAGACGGCCGCTCCAGGGAGACTGCTCATCAGGCGCCTCAGCACCCCCAGGTGCAGCACCCCCAGACTCAGTACTGCCAAGCTCGGCACCCACAGACCCCTCACACTCAGGCTCAGCACCTCCAGGCTCAGCACCCTCAGACTCCGCACCCCCAGGCTCAGTACCCCCAGGCTCAGCACCCCCAGGCTCCGCACCCCCAGGCTCAGCACCCCCAGAAGTAGCACCCCGAGCAGGACCACCCTCAGCAGGACCTGAGTCACCAGTGACCTCAACCGGTGCAGTCAAGGGAGGAGGGTCTACCTAAGACACACCTGAAGGAGCAGGACCGGGAGCGGGGAGGGGGTCTACCTGGGGAGCACCTAGAGCGATGAAGAGCAGCGGGGGGGGGGGGGGGGGGGGAGCGGGGCAGTGCGGTAGGGGAACCGACTCGTCGAACGTGACGTCCTGAGAGGGGAAGACACGGCGCGAGATGGGGTGGCCAGACTGCGCTACACCTTGAAAAATAGGTTCTGTAAATAACAAGCTTGCGAAGCAAGCGTAGGCGCGAAGCGTGCAAGCTACGGTTTGCACTCGGCTTGTTGTCCGTGTGCGTGTGCGTGCATGCGTGTGTGTATGGAGTGGTATGAGTGCATGAAATAAATATATATTTCATGCTTATAATGGTGTGTGTATGATGGGTCATGATGTCGAATGTGTGTGTCGAGTCAATAGCGAGTTATCGCTAGCCGCGTGTTAGTGCGGTCATTTGTGTCTCGCGCGTGGTTTTTTTTTTGTCGTGTGTCCCGTGCGCGGTTTCTATTTTGTCGCTTGTCGAACGTTCGGCGTGTCGTAGGTGTGTGCAGCAGACCCATCAAGAACTCAAGGATGAGTTTTGTGATGAAGAACCCGAGCCTTGGTTCAAGCTTCAAGTGTTTTTCGAAGCTCGTCAAAAGGCTACACCTCAAGATATTGAAGATAGTTACATTACAAAGTGTAGTGTAACATTTCAGTTGGTGTAGGCCCTTGTGAAGGGTAGTTTCGAGACCCTTCTTGGTTGGGGACAGTGTGGCACTGTTCCCCATTACTGTACCTCGGCTCTTGGGGTTTGTAGGAGCTGGGAGTCCTTCCCAACTCGTAACTCTTCCTAGTTGTTCGTATTTGTGTGTTCTAAGACTATGTTGGGCGACGCATCGCGACGCATCGCGACGCAACGCGACGCATCGCGAACCTTCCTCGTCCACAGCAATGTGGGCGAGGTCTCCGGCAAGGAGACATGGGGCCAGAGGTTGAGCTGATGCGCGGCGTACCGGACTGCAAACGGCCACAGAAAATGGGGGGCAGCCGCATGGATCATGGAGGTACGAGCGACCTCCATGACTAAGCCAATGCGGCGCTCAACAACCCCATTCTGCTGCGGAGAGGCCGGAAGCGTGAACGACTGGCGGATGCCGTGCTCCGCACAGAAGGCTGCCAAGAGGTCGGAGGAGAACTCACCACCTCTGTCAGAGTGCAGACGCAGGACAGGAAAGTCCCGGTTGAACCGCTCGCGGAGCTGGAGACGAACTGTGCGGATCCAAGGGATCAAAACATCAGGGACCTCTCCCTTGCGCCGCGACCGTGGTGTAGCGCGTGTAGTCGTCGACGACCAGCAGGAAGTACCGCTCGTGGCCCTGTCCACGGACGGGGGCTGGGCCCCACACGTCCAGGAGGAGAGTCTGCAGGGGAGCCTGTGCAGGAGGGAACGAGGAGGAGTGAGGGGCGGCGCGCTGCCGCCCCTCGACACAAGGAATGCAGGGCGGCGCAAGCGAGGGAGGGAGGGTAGGCAGAGACCTGGGAAGACCAGAAACCAGGGAGCGAGAGTGCATGCCACGAAGGCGCTGCACCGAGGGGTGACCAAGGCGGTGGTGCCAAAGGAGGGTCTGGTGCGACAAAGCGCGACACGAGCAGGGGGCCGCTAGCTGACCTGACGCAGACGCAGACGCAGCTACCTGAGGGGACTTAGTGGTCAGAGTGTACAGACTCGAGATATGCGCACGGGTAAACGTGGCCAGGTGTCGGCCCGTCCGAGCACACGTACAGTGAGTCACTCGCTGACTCGCAGGAGTGAACTGGTGAACCCCCCTATCCTGGAGGTCAGCTCCACTCACCAAGTTCGTAGAGAACGAGGGAAGGTAAAGACCTGACAGCAAGCCAGACGGGGCGGCCAGACACGGCAGAACCGTGGAGTAGTGGGCAAGGACTGGACCCCCAGAGGGGTCCGCCAGGGAGACTGGAACTGGCCGACTAAGCGGCGTGAGTGTGGTGCAGTCACGAAAGAAGGAGCGGGAAGCTCCTGAGTCAAGGGTGAAGATGTGCAAGACCGCAGCAGGAGAAGTACCAAAGAGAGCAGACGCACCAGCACCTAGAGCAGCAGCCTCACCAGTACCTAGAGCAGGAGACGCAGTAGCACCTAGAGCAGCAGCCTCACCAGCACCTAGAGCAGGAGACGCACGAGCACCTAGAGCAGCAGCCTCACCAGCACCGAGAGCAGCAGGCTCTATATCCGGGTCAGGCGGTACACACAGGTAACAGGCACGGTCAACACTAGTAGGCAATGCATACATGGCAGTGAGAATAGCATCATAGTCAAGAGCAAAGATATCTACCCCCTGTCCAAGCAGCTCCAGCCAGGTGGGGAGCTCAGCCTCGTCGCCAAACTCGGTACGCCAGGCGTCGCTCAGACGGGCAAAGCAGCGGGACTGTGTGTGACCAAGCGTCCCGCAAGTCTGACCAGCCCGAGCACCTGTGCGAATGACGTACGGGCAGCGAACTGTACGCAAAGACCACCCACTCTGGACATACCACTCGTGGAGCTGCTGGGACGTAAGTGTCTCGCGTGGACGCCGCTGCAGCTGCAGCTGGCCACTGCCGGACGCTCCCAACTGACCAGCTCCAGGGCGACAGCTACGACGGCTACCGCGACAACCCAAACCAGCGTACCACTCACTAAGCTGCTGGGGCGTGAGAGACTCGCGGGAACGTCGCTGGAGCTGCATCTGGCCACCTGCTAGTAGCAGCAGTAGCAGCAGCAGCTCGGGCAGGGCAGGCGCGGCAGGCAGGCAGGCAGGCCGGCAGGCAGGCAGGCCGACAGGCAGGCAGGACGACTGACTGGCAGGCAGGCAGGCCGGCAGGCAGGCCGGCAGGCAGGCAGGCAGGCAGGTAGGCAGGCAGGCCGGCAGGCAGGCACGCAAGCCGACAGGTAGGCAGGCAGACAGACAGGCAGGCAGGCAGGCAGGCAAGCAGGCAGGCCGGCAGGCAGGCAGGCAGGCAGGTAGGCAGGCAGGCAGGCAGGCAGGCAGGCAGGCAGGCAGGCCGACAGGCAGGCAGGCCGACAGACAGGCAGGCAGGCAGACAGACGACGCGCGTAGCGCTGCACATCACAGTCACAGTCACAGGCTCATTCGTGGGGTAGCGGTAGGTGGGCCCGAAAAAAAAAAAAAAAAAAAAAAAACGGTCCTACGGACCTACTGCTCTGAAACCATGTTAGAAACTAGAGACAGGAATGATTGGACTATGGAAGTTGGGGTACAAATACAAACCCTAACAAGTGTTGTACCCCACATGGGCTACCCCACTACAGCCTACATTCTAGCATCACATATATAGTTTGACAGGTTTCGTGAGGTGGCGCGGACTCCCCGCGTGGCGGAGGAGGGGTGAAATCAGGCGGCGCACGGTGCACGTCCGGGGGAGCCGATCCAGTCATGCGTTCGCAGTCATGCGCATGGTGCATGTCCTGCGCCATCCATTCACGGACGAGGTTCTCAATGCGCGTCATCGCATCACTGTGACAATCCTTGATTGTCGCGGAGACCAGCATGGCCGCTTGCATGGTAGCCGTCTCATGCACCCGGGCGCGCCTGGGTGTTGCAGTGGTCGGCGGCGGCGGAGCTGTGATAAAGGAGCGGGGAAGAGAGTAGGTTCGATTAGTCCGAATACACTTGTCGCATGTATCCTGCATATTTGCTGATCAAATCAACGGCTGCTTTCTATTACGATTTCAATGAAAGGAATGCGTAGCATTGTTACGGTTATAGAAGCTCGACTCACCAATAAAGCATGGTGTTGACGTGCCTGGCTGTGACGAACTTGGAATCTCCATGTCGGCCGGCACGTTGACATTAGTCGCGCCGCCGCCGTCCACCGCATGCGGTGCAGCTGCGGCAGTGTCCTGGTTGTGCAGCTCGAGGTACGGATACCACGGTGGTTTCTCCACCGAGCCGTTGCCCGACCCCCCGTCGCCACGCTTGTACTCCCGCCAAAGGAGCATCAAGTTACGCCACTGCTTCTGCAACGCGTTGACCCCCCTGCACCATCCAGGGTTCGACTCCTTGATGTGCGCGAGTATTCGGATGAACAACTTTGCCGCGGCGAAGATGGTGCTCTCCTTGTCCGACCATAAGCCCCTCTCGACTGGTGCAGCCGACCGCTTCTTCCGTGGCTCCTGGCGTGGCGGTGGTGGCACCGCCTTGCCTTTGCCCTTGTCAGTCCCAGATGCGCGAGCGGCGCTCCGTTTCGGCGGCTGGGCAACAGGTTGCGCTTCCTCCTCCGCGTCATCCTCGGCGTCCTCATCGTCGTCGTCGTCGTCGCTGGGCGACATCCCAAGGTCTTCCGGTTCTTCCTCCTCGTCTTCGGTGTCGATGCCTTCGTCGCGGTCGTCATCATCAGCATCGTCACCCTCTTGCTCCACGACAGGCCGGTGTGTTGCCGCCGTCCTTGCAGGCTGGCGGCGCACACGTGACGGGGCCGCGGTGGGTGACTGTGCACTGGATCCCTGGCCGTCGAGCACGGGCGGCGCGGATAATCTCCTCGGATGGCGCTCGTTGGCGATCTGCTGGTTCATCCAACGGATGTACGGAATGTCGTTGAGATCCTTGGGCCAGTCGTTAAGGGCCTGGCCCTTACGCTTACGAGCCATGCTGGCGGCTTGAGTGCTTCTAGATCTAGATCTGGAGAGAGGGGGTGCAGAGAGAAGTGAACAGATTGGAACAGGAAAGATGGTGCACAAAGATGACCCCGTAAGGTGTTGGGAGAAGGAGGAGTTGTGGGGAAAAAGCACCGGATATGGGGGAAGGCGCGCTGGGGCCGTGCGCGTCCATGTCAATAATTCCGGGTTGGTTGTCTCGACCAATCACGATGCTGTGTACGCGTTTCTGGGGATAGAGGGTGTTTTGAGATGTTGTCCAGGTTCATGCTACTTGAATTGACATTTGGCACCGCGTGCGACTGATGGGATGTGTTGCAATTAGCTGGCGACTGTTCCGTGTTTCACGTCACCCAATGATAAATACAGTTGGCGACAACCACGGGCGGCCCGGGATTCTGACACCTGGCAGCATATGCTGTACGTACGCGTCACAATCGATTGGGAACATCGATTGGGACCTGGTCCACAGCGGAATGTACCCTTAGTGCACAGTCAGAGAATCGCCCTAGGGCCCACCACCGCTCGCATGCGGTTACCACGCTACCCCGTGCCCTAGCCTCGTAGCGCCCTCGTGCGCCCTCGTTAGCGCCCTCGCGCGCCCCTCGTTAGCGCCCTCGCGCGCACCCTCGTTAGCGCCCTCGCGCGCCCCTCGTTAGCGCCCTCGCGCGCCCCTTGCTAGCGCCCTCGCGCGCCCCTCACTAGCGCCCTCGCGCGCCCCTCGCAGTGTCGCCCGCCCGCCGAGCCGCCCGCTCGCAGCCCGCTCGTCCTGCTGCCCGCTTCGCAGCCCGCCCGCCCGCTCGCTGCCCGCTTCGCGGCCCGCCCGCCACGCAGCCCGCCCGCCCGCTCGCTGCCCGCTTCGCGGCCCGCCCGCTTCGCAGCCCGCTCGCTCGCTGCCCGCTTCGCGGCCCGCCCGCTTCGCAGCCCGCTCGCCCGCTCGCTGCCCGCTTCGCGGCCCGCCCGCTTCGCAGCCCGCTCGCTCGCTGCCCGCTTCGCGGCCCGCCCGCTTCGCGGCCCGCCCGCCCGCTCGCTGCCCGCTTCGCGGCCCGCCCGCCTCGCAGCCCGCTCGCCCCGCTGCCCGCTTCGCGGCCCGCCCACTTCGCAGCCCGCCCGCCCGCTCGCTGCCCGCTTCGCGGCCCGCCCGCTTCGCAGCCCGCTCGCCCCGCTGCCCGCTTCGCAGCCCGCCCGCCCGCTCGCTGCCCGCTCGCAGCGCCGCCCGCCCGCCCGCTACCTGCTTCGCAGCGCCGCCCGCTGCCTCACTGCCCGCTTGCTGCGTCCCCTCTGCTGCTGCCGCTGCTCTGCTGTGCCCTCACGCCTGAGCTATGGCCTCTATTCGCGTTCTTTCCTTCGATGCTGAGGGCCGTCCCGTGCAGTTCACTTCCTGGCTCGACGACCTGCAGTTGTATCTTATGAGCAATAGCACGGACCACATCTCCCTCTATGACTACGCGTCTGGTGCTGCCGCTGCTCCTGCTGCCACAGCCGAGCTTAGTGTTCGTTCCCACTGGCAGACTCGTGACGCAGCTGCTCGCCTAGCCATTCGCAGTCACCTCCCGCTAGCTGAGCTCGAGCATTTTGGCGACTGCAAATCCGCTAAGGCCCTGTACGATGCTGTCGTTGCTCGCTACTCCTCGCCTGCCACAGCCGAGCTTAGCCACCTCATGCTGCCGTACCTGTTCCCCGATCTGTCCACCTTTACTACAGTCGCCGATCTTATCACCCACCTTCGCACTAGTGATGCTCGCCTGCGTGCCGCCCTTCCCACCGAGTTCTGCGCTAAGAACCCCCCTCCACTGTACTGGACACTCCACTTCATAGTCACCCGTCTCCCTGACACCCTCCGCTCAGTTCGAGACCACTTCCTTGCTCGCTGTCCCACTGAGCTCACAGTCGCCCTCCTAGAGGAGCAGCTGCTCGCGGCCGAAAAGAGCATTGTAGCTGTCGGTGCTGCTCGTGGCGCTCCTCGCACCCCCATCTTTGAGGGGTGTTCTCCCTCTCCCCTCGCTCCCTCCTACGCTGCTGCTGCTGCTGTTGACTTCCTTGGTGCTGAGTCTGTTGGCGCTGCTTCTGCTCCTGGTGGGAGGCGCCGCACCGGCAAGGGCAAGGGGGGCAAGGGTGGTGGTGGTGGCGCTGGGGGGGGAGGAGGTGGGGGAGGTGGGGGGGGAGGCGGTGCTGGAGGGAGCGGTGGCGGGAGCGCTGGTGGGAGTGGGGTCGGTGGTGGAGGCGGGGGCGGCGGCGGAAGCAGTGGCAGTAGTGGCGGCGGTGGCGGTGGTGGCGGTGGCGGTGGGGGTGGGGGGTGGTGGCGGTCGGAGCGGTGGTAGTGGTGGCGGCGGAGGTCGGAGTGGAGGCACTGGCTCGGGCCAGAGCTCCCAGCAGCAGCAGCGTCCCCAGACGACCCAGCAGCTTCGTGAGTGGCTTGCTCAGCGTGGGACGTCGGGGGGCAGTGGCCGCTGTTCTTATGTCATTCGCACAGGTGACCGCAAGGGACAGACGTGTGGGAGGTTCCACACCCCGTACCGCTGCTTCTCCCGCCTTGACGACGCTTGGCGTGAGGAGATGGGCGCGGATGTTGAGCGCCCCCGCTGGGCTGAGCTCATGAGGGCTGGTGTTGATGTCTTTGCTCTTGACTATGATGCTATTATTGCTGCCATGTATGCATTGACTGTTAGTGCCGAGGGAGACTGTTACTTGTGTGTGCCGCCTGACCCAGGTATAGAGCCCGCTGCCCTGGGTACTAGTGAGTCTGCTCTCTCTGGTATGGTGCCCCCTGTACTTGCTCCCCCCAGTGCTGTCCCGGCTGGTTTCGAGTCTGCTCTCTCAGGTACAGCACCCACAGAGACTGCTCTCTCAGGTACCGCACCGGCTGAGGCCTGTCACACCTTCACCCTTGACTCAGGTGCTTCCCGTTGCTTCTTTCGTGACAGTACTGAGCTCACACCGCTTCCTGCACCGGTCCCAGTCTCCTTGGCTGACCCCTCTGGGGGCCCAGTCCTTGCCCAGTCCACCACTGTCCTCCCTTGTCCGGCGGTTCCGTCTGGCTCGTTGTCGGGTTTCCACCTCCCCTCGTTCTCGACGAACCTGGTGAGCAACGCTGTCCTCCAGGATCAGTGGGTTGACACCTTTACCCCTGGCGGACAGCGTGTGGCGATCTGCACGTGCTCCAGGACCGGCCGTCACCTGGCTACGTTTACCCGTCGGCCGGGGTCGAGTCTCTACACACTGACCACTGCGTCTCCTCAGGTCGCTGCTGTCGGTCAGGTGTCTGCGTCAGGTCTGGTAGCCCACGCCTGTGAGTGTCGTTCCCTGTCGCACCAGACTCTTCTCTGGCACCACCGCCTGGGTCACCCCTCCTTGCCACGCCTTCGTGGCATGCACCGTCGCCACCTTGTGTCTGGTCTTCCCAGGTCCCTCCCTCCCCTCCCTGCCTCGCCTGCGCCGCCTTGCCTTCCTTGCGTCGAGGGGCGGCAGCGCGCCGCTCCTCACTCCTCCTCGTTTCCCCCGACAGAGGCTCCTCTGCAGACCCTCCACCTGGACGTGTGGGGCCCAGCCCGCGTTCGTGGTCAGGGCGGTGAGCGGTACTTTTTGCTGGTTGTCGACGACTACTCGCGTTACACCACGGTCTTCCCCTTGCGCACCAAGGGTGAGGTCCCTGCTGTTCTGATCCCTTGGATCCGCACGGTTCGTCTCCAGCTCCGCCGCCGTTTCCGGACGGATCTTCCTGTCCTGCGTCTGCACTCTGACAGAGGTGGTGAGTTTTCCTCCGATCTCTTGAGGACCTTCTGTCAGGCGGAGGGCATCGAGCAGACCTTCACGCTTCCGGACTCCCCACAGCAGAATGGGGTTGCTGAGCGCCGCATTGGCCTGGTCATGGAGGTCGCTCGTACCTCCTTGGTCCACGCGGCGGCTCCCCATTTTCTGTGGCCGTTTGCTGTCCGGTACGCCGCGCATCAGCTCAACCTCTGGCCCCGTGTCTCCTTGCCGGAGACCTCGCCCACACTGCGTTGGACGGGGGAGGTTGGCGATGCGTCGCGCTTCCGGGTGTGGGGTGCTCGTGCCCTTGTCCGCGATACGTCCGCGGACAAGCTCTCCTCCCGCACGCTTCCCTGTGTCTTCCTTGGCTTTGTCCCTGACGCGCCTGGCTGGCAGTTTTACCACCCCACCTCGCGCCGGGTCTTCGCCTCTCAGGACGTCACCTTTGACGAGTCGGTCCCTTTTTACCGTCTCTTCCCCTACCGCACTGCCCCCCTCCCTCCCCCGCCGCTTTTCCTTGCTCCTGGTCCCCCTCCGGTAGACCCCCTTCCCCCTCAGGGTCCTGCTCCTTCAGGTGTCTCTCAGGTAGACCCTCCTCCCGTCGCTGAGCCTGTCGAGTTCACAGGTGACTCAGGTGCTGCTGCGGGTGGTGCTGCTGGGAGTGCTGAGCCTGGGGGTGCTGAGCCTGGGGGTGCTGGGCCTGGGGGTGCTGGGGCTGCAGGTGCTGGGACTGAGGGTGCTGGAGCTGAGGGTACTGTGCCTGAGAGTTTGCCGCCTGGGGGTGCTGAGCCTGGGGGTGCTGCGACTGGGGGTGCTGAGCCTGCGGGTACTGAGCCTGCGGGTACTGAGCCTGGGGGTGCTGCTACTGAGCCTACGGAGCCTCGGGTTACTGCGTCTGGGGGTGCTCCGGTTCGGGGTGCTGAGCAGTCTCTCACACCGCAGCAGCTTCGTGACTGGTACGTCCGGCGCTTTCGCCGTCCTAGTGGCTCGGCTGGAGTTGGGGGTGCTGGGGCTGCTCGTCCTGGGGGTGCTCGTACTGGGGGTACTGGAGCTGCCGGGACTGGTTGTTCTGGGAGCACTGCGACTGGAGCTGCTGGAGCTGGGGACTCTGGCGCTGGCGGTACTAGCGGAGTTGGAGCTGCCGACTCTGGGGGTGGCGCTGCTGCTGGTGCTGCGGACCCGCCTGGTGGAGCTGCTGCTGGAGCTGAGGACCCGAGCGGTGGCGCTGCTGCTGGTGCTGGGGACCCGGACGTTGGAGCTCCTGCTGGTCCTGAGGACCCGGCCGCTGGAGTCTCTTCTGCTTCTGGAGACGCTGCGCGGCCGCGACCGTACTTCGTACCGCTCCTTCAGCAGGTTCTTGGGCAGGCTCCTCCTCCTTGTCCTCCTCCCTCCGTAGAGTGTCCTCCGCCTGTCCAGCCGCAGTCACAGTTACCGCCTGCCTCGCCTCTCCCTGCTCCCTCTCCTTACGCTGGTCCCACAGGAGGTCTTACAGAGCGTCGTCAGCCTGAGTCTCGTCCTGTGTCGCCTGTTCGTCCTGCTCGCACTGGTAGTCGTGTCCGTCGTGAGCGTCCTCCTCCTGTCCCAGGCACTCACTACATGACTCTGCGTCCCTCTACTGCTCCTCGGCGTGTCCCTCTACCGTCTCCTCCTGCGTCCTCTTTGCCTGCCGTTCCGGACCCTGAGTCTGACCGGTATCGCGCTGAGCACCCTACTGTCACGCGTCTCCTAGCTACTGTTGTCACTGACCCTACCTTTGAGTCCTCGGCTGCGTCTGCTCTGGTCGCTGAGTTGGTTGACTTTGCTGCTGCCTGTCGTCTAGACTACGCTGCTAGCCTTGTTGCTGAGTCTGAGTCTGCGTCTGTCTGTCCTCCGTCCGTCGGGGGTGAGTGTGCTCTTGGCACGGACGTCCTTGAGGACAGGCAGGAGGACTTTGACTCTCTTGCGGCTGCTGTACCTCATCTCGTGGCCTGGTTGCTTGCCCCTGAGGGAGACCCGGATGCACTAGACATCCCCACTCCGCGCTCTTACGCAGAGGCGATCTCGGGTCCCTACTCCTCTCAGTGGCAGACAGCCATGGACGCAGAGATGGCATCCTGGAAGTCCACAGGCACCTACGTCGACGAGGTTCCCCCTCCTGGGGCGAACATCGTCGATGGCATGTGGATTTTCAGGGTGAAGCGGCCGCCAGGTTCTCCGCCTGTCTTCAAGGCTCGTTACGTTGCTAGAGGCTTCAGTCAGCGTCAGGGGGTCGACTTCTTCCAGACCTTCTCCCCCACCCCGAAGATGACCACTCTTCGGGTTCTGCTGCACGTTGCTGCTCAGCGTGACTACGAGCTTCACTCTCTTGACTTCAGCACAGCGTTCCTGCAGGGCAGCCTGCACGAGGAGATCTGGCTGCGCCGCCCACCTGGCTTTACTGGGTCGTTTCCCCCTGGTACCCAGTGGAGTCTCCGCCGGCCAGTCTACGGTCTCCGCCAGGCGCCACGTGAGTGGCACGACACACTGAGGACTACACTTGCGGCTCTTGGGTTCGCGCCGTCTACTGCTGACCCGTCGCTGTTTCTGCGCACAGACACGTCGCTGCCGCCGTTCTACATTCTTGTGTACGTCGACGACTTGGTCTTTGCTACTGCTGACACTGAGGCACTCACTCGTGTGAAGTCGGAGCTGCAGAAGAGACACACCTGCACTGACCTGGGTGAACTGCGTAGCTACCTTGGCTTGCAGATCACCCGGGACAGAGCTCGCCGCACCATCACCCTGACTCAGTCACACATGGTGCAGCAGGTCCTTCAGCGCTTCGGCTTCCAGTTCTCCTCACCACAGGCCACACCTCTGGCTACCAGCCACTCGCTCTCAGCTCCACCTTCGGACGAGTCCGTAGAGCCGAGTGGCCCGTACCCAGAGCTTGTAGGCTGCCTCATGTACCTGATGACTTGCACGCGACCTGACCTCGCGTACCCTCTTAGCATCCTTGCTCGTTACGTTGCGCCTGGGAGACACAGGCGAGAGCACTGGGAGGCTGCTAAGAGGGTGCTGCGTTACCTGTGCAGTACATCAGGCATGGGGCTGGTGCTTGGAGGACGCGACAGAGTTGTCCTCACTGGTCACTCGGACGCTTCTTGGGTGGACGACCTGGCTACGCAGCGGTCGTCACAGGGTTACACCTTCAGCCTTGGCTCTGGTTCTGTCTCGTGGCGGTCCACCCGCTCTTCCTCTGTTCTCGGCTCTAGTTGTGAGGCTGAGATCTACGCCACAGCCATGGCTGCACAGGAGTTACGCTGGCTCACCTACCTGCTGACTGACTTGGGAGAGCGGCCTAGTTCTCCTCCAGTTCTGTACGGTGACAACAAGGCGGCTCTTGCCTTGTGTCAGGAGCACAGACTGGAGCACAGGACGAAGCACATTGCTCTTCGCTACTTTCTTGCTCGAGAGCTTCAGCAGCGCGGTCAGCTTCGGCTTGTGTACGTGGACTCGAAGGCCAACACTGCTGATATCTTCACCAAGGCGCTCCCGCCTAGTGATCATCAGCGGCACTGTACTTCTTTAGGCCTTGTGTCCACGTTTCCTCACTTGCTCACTGCTTGACATTCTTTGTACTGTACTTTATATATATCTTGTTGCTTGCTTGCTAGGTTTTGATCACTGTGTTGCTTGTCTTGTACTATATCTAGCACTGCATGTGAACTGGCCTTGTGGCCTTTACTTGTGCTCGGAGTGTGGTGACGTTGTGATCCACCCTGGGCTTTGTTTTGCTTTGCTGGACTGGTCTTGTGACCCTTTGTTCTCCCCCACTTTGCCTATGGGGGTGTGTTAAACTGTATTATGCTTGTAGGCTGTAGTGGGGTAGCCAATATGGGGTACAACCCCAACTAGGGTTTCATATTTGTACCCAAACTTCTGCTAGTTCAATCATTCTTGCCTAGCTATTCTGAAAATAAGCGCCAGCGCTTATGGTCGAAATTCAATTACAAGCGCCCCCCTTAAAAAAAACTATTATATACATATATATAGCGCATATGCGCTACTATCCGGGGTGATACGGTACCTACCTAGTGGTAGTAACAAAACGCACTGTCATTAAAGTAGTGCTCAGTGCTCACTAATCAATGCCCAAGCAATCAGGCAACCACATGAGCAGAATTGCTCTCGTACGGTTCTAGTACCGTACCTCCTCCCCCTTTTCCCTTAGCTTTCATTTCCCTCGCTTTCGCTCCCCTCGTTCTTCCTCCTTCACTTCCCTCATCCTCGTCCCCCATCCGCCACACAGCCCCTTCACCTTGTTCCTCCAATCCAAGCCACCCACTGCGCACTCCCCCTTGTCCAGGTTCGCTGTAGCATAGATCACCACCCTCTCTCTTGCCCTCCTCGAAGGCACATCCGGCTTGCCAAGCCCCAGCAGTGCCAAGCATTTAAACAGCAGCCCGTGTACAAGGAAAACTAGCGAAACCTGCCCGACCGGGTCGGATACCAGATCATCAAGACCGCTTGGCAGCATGGCGTTGAGAGACTGCCAGCTCAGCACCACCTGGCGAATCAGCAGCAAAGCCGGTAAAGTTGGCTGCTATTATGTCGTAGCGGGAGAGGGCAGACTTGAAGACACCTAGGAGGGGGGGATTAGGGGGGAGGGAGAGTGGTGGAGAGACTTAGGCAGGCTCCAGCGGTGCAAACTTAGCATGACCAGAAGCAGAACCCTACCACCAACATGCGTTCTGGCAACAAAGTACCGACACGTAACACTCAGGTTGACCTGACACGCTTCTTATGCAGCTCGAATGTTGTTCAGCCAACAAAGGTACGAGTACAGCATGGGTTGACATGAAACACGGTGACACCAAGGAGTGCATACAATCATACGGCTCTCTTTCTAATGAACCCCCACCCTCCCTCATGGCATCACCTATTTCCTGCTCTGAAACTTCCTCTTCGATCAACTTGCCATTCCTCTCTCACCTGCCCGTCCTTGCATTGCTCGTCCTCCTCATCTTCATCTTACTCCACTACCCCCTCCGTTCCACACTCCCCTACCTCTCACTCCCCTCTCCTGTGCTCCCTCTCCCTTCGCTCCCCTTTGCTCCCCTCACCTTCGCTTCCCTCCCCTTCGTTCACCTCCCCGTTATTACCCTTCCCTTCCTCCTCTTCGTTCCCCTCCCTTTCGCTCCCCACCTCTTCGTTCCCTTCCCCTTCGCTCTCCACCCCTTTGCTCTGCTCCCTTTCGTTCCCCTCCCCTTTGGTCCCCTCTCCTTTGTTCCCTTCTCCTTCGATCCCCTCCTCTTCGTTCCCCTCCCCTTTGCTCCCCTCCCTATCACCCCCATTCCCGTCGTTCCCCTCCCCTTTGCTCCCCTCCCCTCCTCTCCCCTCTCTTTTGTTCTCATCCCCCTCATTCCCGTCCCCTTCCCTCCCCTCCCCTTCGCTCCCCTCCCCTTCGTTCCCCTCTCTTCCCTCCCTTTCGCCTTCACGCCCCTCATCCTCCTCCGCAGTCCCGACTTCCACTTCTTCCTCACCCTCCTCCTCACCCTCGCCCTCCTCCTCATCCTCACCCTCCTCCTCCTCTTCTCCCTCCTCCTCCTCCTCGCCCTCCGAGTCATCTTCTCCCTCCGAGTCATCTTCTCCCTCCGAGTCATCTTCTCCCTCCTCCGACTCATCCGCTTCCTCCTCCTCCTCGACCTGCGAGTCATCCACCACGCGCTCTCCCTCGTCCAGCCTCGCTGCGTGAATCACGGACCTTGCATTTGGCTCCCGCCGATGGAAGCTAGTGACAATGCATCCCTGCAGCTTCCGCATCTGCCCAAGGCCCGAGGGTAATTGAGTCAGCAGCTTGCATTCGAACACTTCCAACTTCTCCAGCGCGGGCAGCTGGGCAAAAGATTCGGGCAGCCTGCGGAGTTTGGAAAGTGACGCGAGCCAGAGTTCTTTCAAAGCAGAGAGCTTCCAGAAGTCATCCGGAAGGCACGAGATTCCGACATCCTTCAAATGAAATTGCTGCAGACTACAGAGATCAGCGAAGGATTCGGGCAGCCTGGTTAGGCCCCAGCATTGCTCAATCCTAAGAACCCGAAGCTTCTTCAGCTGCCCGAGCGACTTAGGCAGCTCCGTCAAGCTTGCGAGACCATCAATACCAAGGAATGTGAGCGCTGAAAGCTTTCCTATTGACTCTGGCAGAGTAAGCAGGCTGTCAATATAGTTGATCGTTAGTGACTGCAAGCGAGAGAGGCAAGCGATGGAATCCGGAAGGCACCGTAGTGGACCCACTTGCGTGATATCCAGGAAGGTTACGGATGAGAAGTAACCCAGTGATGGAGCCAGCAGCTGCACTGGAAGGCCCCATATTTGAAGAACCTTGAGGGATGGGTGTGACACACCCGTGCCACTCTCCTCGGATCCCAAACAGCTGCCAGCGGCATTGCTGCTACCCGTGTGACCAGGTATCTCGAGGCGGGTGCTTCCCGCCCCACGGCCATGCGATGCGGCTCCCTGGTCTTCCTCTCCACACAGTGACTGCAGTGCGTTGCAGTATTTCAGTTGCAGTTTTTTCAGATGCAGCAGCTGACACAGCGAGCGAGGGAGCGACTTCAGGTTGGGTAGACTGTAGAGCGTGAGTCTTTCAAGCGCTCCCAGCCGTCCGATTTCCTTCGGCAGCGCCGTAATTTGCGGGCATTTGAGCAGCTCGAGCTTGGTGAGAGAACGGCCGATGGCAGGGAGGGAGGCAGGCAGGGCGGACAGGTGCGGTAAGAAGGAAAGAGAGAGCTCCTTAAGGTTTGTCAAGTCGGAAAACGCATCTGGTAGCGTGCCTAGGCTGGTTGCGTCATTAATTTCTAGGGTTTCGAGGGAGGAGAGGCCGGAGAAGGATGGAGGGAGGTGGGCGAGAGCTGTGCATTTGGCCAGAATCAGTCTGCGCAGGCGATGCAGGCCATCCCCCATGCCCTGCGGTAGCGCCGCTAGCTTGCAGCAGTGACTGATGTCCAGCAGCTCGAGAGCAGATAGCAGGCTCAGGCCGTCTGGAAGCTGCGCCAGCGCCGGACAATGGGATATTCTCAGCTCCTTGAGGCTCGTCAAGCTGCCAAGCGACGCGGGCAGGCCGTGGAGCTCAGAAAGGTCAACCAGGCGAAGGGCCTCTAGGGCAGTCAACTGCCCGAATTCCTCGGGCAGAGAATGTAGAGTTGCAGAATCTTCAATCGTGAGTTCTTTGAGTGTGGTGGCAAGGTATGCGGAGGGATGCAGGTGCACGGCAGTTCCAACGTATAGCTTGAGCGTGCGTAGGCGTGGCAGAAGAGCGAGGTTGTCAGGCAGATGCTGGAGTGTTCGGCAGACGAGGATAAGATCCGTTAGAGAAGGCAGCTGCCCGATACTCTCGGGCAGATCTGCGATGCCCCCCACATACTCCAAACGTAGGGTTTCAAGCGCCGGCAGGTTCCCGAACCCCTCGGTCAGCGGTGAAAGGATGAGGCCGTTGAAGATTTCGAAGGTCAGCAGTGATGAAAGATTGGAGATGGATTCGGGCAGCTGAAGCCTCTCGAACCCGCTGAAGGAAAGTTTCATCAAGCCGCTAAGCTGCCCCAAGGAATCGGGAATGGAACTGAGACGCATGCAGTCGTTCAGACGGAGCGTCTTGAGCCGCCTCAGATTGCCGAAGCCCTGAGGCAGTTCAACCAGGCCGCGCATTTCAATCACAACATGCGCGAGTGCCTGTAACGAGGTGAACGCGTCTGGAAGGCGAGCGATTTCGCCCCTGTCGACGATGTGTAGGCTCTTGAGTGACGAAAGGCTGCCGATTGACGCGGGAATGGCGGCCAGATTCGACTGGCAATGAAGATGAAGTCCCTCCAGCCGCGTGCACTTCTCCAGGAAATCCGAAAGGGCGTTCTCAGTGAAGCCCCCCTGCCGGCACTCTCGTTCCATCGAATCGACGTGGAGGTCCGTCAGATCTGGACACGTGTCGGCAATTCCGGAGAGGAGGGAGTCAGGGACGGAGGTGATGCTGCCGCGGGCGAGGACGAGCTTTCGGAGCCTTGGGAATGACGAGAGGAGCGCGAGCAGCTCGGAAGGACGCATGCGAAGCTCTTCGCGAATGTGGATGTGGTCGTGCACGCTAAGGGCGACGCGATGCCATCTCTTGCACACAAGCGCGTGCTGGAACTGACCGGATCGGCCGACGCGATGGAGGATAGCGGAGAGAAGATCGTCTGACAGCTGTTCGACCGGCGATGCAGCAGCCATTTCTGACTAGCTAATGAGATGAAACGGAACTAAGTGGTGGAAGGCTGATAAGGTAGCTGGGAGAGTCTGCGCAATAGCAACGGAACCCTCAGTTATTGTGGCTGATGTGTTGGTGAGTGTGGGTGTGGCAATCCCTAGGTTGCGTGTCCCAGCGGATGAGCTCGTCGACTCTCACTCACCCCCCTTTACCCGTGAGAGCAAAGCCGACGTTGCCCACCTTCCTCCCCTTGCCACCCAGAACCCGTGGTGCCCCTCGTCGCGTGAGCCAGATCCCCTTCCCTCCCCCGCACCTTAGAATACTCGTCGTCACCCCGCAAAGAATCGACGCCTGAGGAGGGAGTGTTGCTCAGGAGGGTCCGCGGAGCCCCTGATCTGCCGAATCAGGGCTGGTCCGACGGACCAGGCCCAAACCTACACGAATCTCGAGGGCTGGTCCGACGGACCAAATCAAACTCTGAAATTTGCGCATGGCAGACCCGCGAAATAGCTCACGAAGCGTTTCGCGAGGGATTTTTTTCGCTTCAGGGACAGCGGCCCAGCGGATGTGCTCCTCCTCACTTCCCTTTGCCGTGGGAGCAAAGCCGACATCGCTCCCTCCCCTTCGAACCGACGGATAGCCGGACTAGGCCCCCTTTACCCCAGAACCCGGATCCCCCAGGTTCCCTTCTGCCTGGACGCTCCCCCATCACGGGTATCCACGTCGTCATCCCCCGCAAAAGAACCAACGTGTTGGCGAATCTTGACGGAAAAGGAAAACCAGACGCGAGAACACCTGACTTGCTAAAATATTTGTGACGCGAAAAGCAAATCTCGTCGTGAACCTACCAGAGTGCAAGAGGGACACACCAAGCGTTTTGTGCGGGGGAAAAAATGTTTCGCCTGCAAGAGTCGCATGCATCAGAATTGCCCAGTTTCGTCAGCCAAACAACTTCTATCCCCTTCAATAGCATTCTCGGCTTCACCCTACTCCAACCAATGTTCCCCGCCAAATCACACGCTCATCATAATTATATACTAAGCTCACATCACGCTCACTAATTCTGAGCATGTCCGGATACGCCAAATGGAAATCAATTTAGCATGTGAATGTTTGTTATACACTTTTTCCAGCTTCTTCATAGCATTTTCCCAGACCCAACAACACATGCATAACATTCCATGGCAAATACTATTTGATACAATCTGAACCGTCTTATAGGATCGTCTCAGGTTGATCGCACGGAAGTGTAGCAGCGGAAGATTGCTAGGTAATGTCGGGTACGGACTCTGTCAGAAGAGGGAGATTTGAATCTCGACAGAAGTGACTAATACAATGCGGTACAAGGGTTTATATAGGAATACAGTGGAATACGAAAGGTCCTAGCTAGCCATGTACTATGAGGGGATACATTCCCCTTTGGGGCTAATCTATATGCAGGTTTGCAACAGTGTGACTCAGTAACCATACGCGGTTCGGTAACCGTTTGAAGTTTTCCCACGTTTTTCAATCCGAATTCTTCTCGCTTGTTACTGTCTTCGATAACTGTCTTGTTGCTTGGTCTTTCCTCCTCGCTGTAGTCATCTTCGCGTTAAGAATCCGTTACTTAAAAATGTTTGTTCAACTATTCCATATCGTAACACTCCCCTTCATTCCTGGAGTGGCGAAGTCTTGACACGCTTGGTTATGCCGCAGATGGTTCCGCAGTGGAGGTACTACTGACGTGGCAGCTTCTTGGTAAGCAAGTCGGCTGCCATGTCACTATTGGAGCAGTAAGTCAAGATGACTTTGCCCTTGTCAACTTCGTCTTTGACGAAGAAGTAGCGGAGTGTGATATGCTTGGTGCGATTGACAAAGCTTGGTTTTTTCGCGCTTTGATTGTCGCAGTGAAGTTTTAAGCTCGTGAACGTCGCAAATTTCGCCTCCTGGAGTAGCTCCTGTAGGTAGAGTCCTTTGCGAACTCCTAACGTGGCGGCGATGAGTTCCGCTTCACCAGAGGAGAGCGCCACCATTTCTTGCTTCTCGGAATTCCAGGAAATGGGACCGGTAGGCTCGAGTCGAAAGAGGAAGCCTGTTCGGGACCGTCGATTTGCAGGATTGGCGGCGTGATCTGCGTCCACGTATCCAACGAGGCTGAATGAACGAGTCGTGAGAGTGGAGAAGGTGAGGCCAATGTGCGGTGTGAAGATGAAGTATTGAAGGGCACGCTGTAAATCCAGCATATGCTCCCCTTCAGGCCGCTTGGCATACTGAGCGAGCTGGCTCGAGATGTAGGACAAGTCAGACCTGCATGTTACAGTGGCTTAGAGAAGACGGCCGAGTTGCTGCTGGTACAGCTGATGTTCAGCGGGGTGGGGAAAAAATGTTTCGCCTGCAAGAGTCGCATGCATCAGAATTGCCCAGTTTCGTCAGCCAAACAACTTCTATCCCCTTCAATAGCATTCTCGGCTTCACCCTACTCCAACCAATGTTCCCCGCCAAATCACACGCTCATCATAATTATATACTAAGCTCACATCACGCTCACTAATTCTGAGCATGTCCGGATACGCCAAATGGAAATCAATTTAGCATGTGAATGTTTGTTATACACTTTTTCCAGCTTCTTCATAGCATTTTCCCAGACCCAACAACACATGCATAACATTCCATGGCAAATACTATTTGATACAATCTGAACCGTCTTATAGGATCGTCTCAGGTTGATCGCACGGAAGTGTAGCAGCGGAAGATTGCTAGGTAATGTCGGGTACGGACTCTGTCAGAAGAGGGAGATTTGAATCTCGACAGAAGTGACTAATACAATGCGGTACAAGGGTTTATATAGGAATACAGTGGAATACGAAAGGTCCTAGCTAGCCATGTACTATGAGGGGATACATTCCCCTTTGGGGCTAATCTATATGCAGGTTTGCAACAGTGTGACTCAGTAACCATACGCGGTTCGGTAACCGTTTGAAGTTTTCCCACGTTTTTCAATCCGAATTCTTCTCGCTTGTTACTGTCTTCGATAACTGTCTTGTTGCTTGGTCTTTCCTCCTCGCTGTAGTCATCTTCGCGTTAAGAATCCGTTACTTAAAAATGTTTGTTCAACTATTCCATATCGTAACACTCCCCTTCATTCCTGGAGTGGCGAAGTCTTGACACGCTTGGTTATGCCGCAGATGGTTCCGCAGTGGAGGTACTACTGACGTGGCAGCTTCTTGGTAAGCAAGTCGGCTGCCATGTCACTATTGGAGCAGTAAGTCAAGATGACTTTGCCCTTGTCAACTTCGTCTTTGACGAAGAAGTAGCGGAGTGTGATATGCTTGGTGCGATTGACAAAGCTTGGTTTTTTCGCGCTTTGATTGTCGCAGTGAAGTTTTAAGCTCGTGAACGTCGCAAATTTCGCCTCCTGGAGTAGCTCCTGTAGGTAGAGTCCTTTGCGAACTCCTAACGTGGCGGCGATGAGTTCCGCTTCACCAGAGGAGAGCGCCACCATTTCTTGCTTCTCGGAATTCCAGGAAATGGGACCGGTAGGCTCGAGTCGAAAGAGGAAGCCTGTTCGGGACCGTCGATTTGCAGGATTGGCGGCGTGATCTGCGTCCACGTATCCAACGAGGCTGAATGAACGAGTCGTGAGAGTGGAGAAGGTGAGGCCAATGTGCGGTGTGAAGATGAAGTATTGAAGGGCACGCTGTAAATCCAGCATATGCTCCCCTTCAGGCCGCTTGGCATACTGAGCGAGCTGGCTCGAGATGTAGGACAAGTCAGACCTGCATGTTACAGTGGCTTAGAGAAGACGGCCGAGTTGCTGCTGGTACAGCTGATGTTCAGCGGGGTGGGGAAAAAATGTTTCGCCTGCAAGAGTCGCATGCATCAGAATTGCCCAGTTTCGTCAGCCAAACAACTTCTATCCCCTTCAATAGCATTCTCGGCTTCACCCTACTCCAACCAATGTTCCCCGCCAAATCACACGCTCATCATAATTATATACTAAGCTCACATCACGCTCACTAATTCTGAGCATGTCCGGATACGCCAAATGGAAATCAATTTAGCATGTGAATGTTTGTTATACACTTTTTCCAGCTTCTTCATAGCATTTTCCCAGACCCAACAACACATGCATAACATTCCATGGCAAATACTATTTGATACAATCTGAACCGTCTTATAGGATCGTCTCAGGTTGATCGCACGGAAGTGTAGCAGCGGAAGATTGCTAGGTAATGTCGGGTACGGACTCTGTCAGAAGAGGGAGATTTGAATCTCGACAGAAGTGACTAATACAATGCGGTACAAGGGTTTATATAGGAATACAGTGGAATACGAAAGGTCCTAGCTAGCCATGTACTATGAGGGGATACATTCCCCTTTGGGGCTAATCTATATGCAGGTTTGCAACAGTGTGACTCAGTAACCATACGCGGTTCGGTAACCGTTTGAAGTTTTCCCACGTTTTTCAATCCGAATTCTTCTCGCTTGTTACTGTCTTCGATAACTGTCTTGTTGCTTGGTCTTTCCTCCTCGCTGTAGTCATCTTCGCGTTAAGAATCCGTTACTTAAAAATGTTTGTTCAACTATTCCATATCGTAACACTCCCCTTCATTCCTGGAGTGGCGAAGTCTTGACACGCTTGGTTATGCCGCAGATGGTTCCGCAGTGGAGGTACTACTGACGTGGCAGCTTCTTGGTAAGCAAGTCGGCTGCCATGTCACTATTGGAGCAGTAAGTCAAGATGACTTTGCCCTTGTCAACTTCGTCTTTGACGAAGAAGTAGCGGAGTGTGATATGCTTGGTGCGATTGACAAAGCTTGGTTTTTTCGCGCTTTGATTGTCGCAGTGAAGTTTTAAGCTCGTGAACGTCGCAAATTTCGCCTCCTGGAGTAGCTCCTGTAGGTAGAGTCCTTTGCGAACTCCTAACGTGGCGGCGATGAGTTCCGCTTCACCAGAGGAGAGCGCCACCATTTCTTGCTTCTCGGAATTCCAGGAAATGGGACCGGTAGGCTCGAGTCGAAAGAGGAAGCCTGTTCGGGACCGTCGATTTGCAGGATTGGCGGCGTGATCTGCGTCCACGTATCCAACGAGGCTGAATGAACGAGTCGTGAGAGTGGAGAAGGTGAGGCCAATGTGCGGTGTGAAGATGAAGTATTGAAGGGCACGCTGTAAATCCAGCATATGCTCCCCTTCAGGCCGCTTGGCATACTGAGCGAGCTGGCTCGAGATGTAGGACAAGTCAGACCTGCATGTTACAGTGGCTTAGAGAAGACGGCCGAGTTGCTGCTGGTACAGCTGATGTTCAGCGGGGTTGAGTGGGGTGGTGACGACGTTGGAAGGAGTGGCCGGGGTGCAATAGGGGGTGGAGAGGTTTGTTGGCTTGATGTTGAATTTGGCGGAGAGAGTTTTGGCGTATTTGGCGGCGGAGAGATGGATGGCGTCGGCAACATAGGAGAAATTGAGACCCAAGAATTTGGTCACCGTGTGGTTGCTGGTGATTTCGACGCGGTTGC